CTCGGTTCAACCAGGGAGACTGCAGAATGAGATGAAAGACAGCCAAGACTTTCATCTCAGGAAAGAAAGCCAACTCCACATACAACACACAAATAGTCCCTGTGTTATTTCAGGTCTCAATAGATACTATCAGTGAATCACCACTAAATAGATCCTGTCAGAATCGCACATCAGCACGAACAGACAGGGATAAGATCAAAGCATCATGGAGGTCTCAGTAGATTTAGGACTCCAAAGCATGAAATGTTGCTACAGAGAGACAAATGGTGCCAGCATGGTGTAACAACACTGTCACACAGCTGAGATAAAGATTAAACAACTTCAGTCAAAGCAGACACGGCCAAGCTGATAATGTGAGTAAATCAACAATGTTTTCTGTGCTCAATACGCAGTAAATGCAGCTGCTGAAGCTGTTTGCTAAGACAATAATAGACTTGGCTGAACAGTAAATTGGTGACCATCAGCAGCCTGTCTCCTCAACGTAGTAATTACCATACTGGATGAAGAAAAATCATCATCCACAAAAAAACATCAAGTTGGTAGGGTTTATTACTGGCCACCACAATAATAACAGCACTAACCGCAAGAAATCTTACTACCAAGACCTCTTTTATCATCTCAGCTTGTCGTAGCAGCAACAGACGACTTACAGTGCATCAATATTTCACACTGCATTACTTCTGGTCTGGTGGCAGAGGCAGGAAAAGCCAAAGCAGGGACCCCATGGGCAGACAGCAGAGTTCAGATCGCAGTCAAGCTTCAATCTCACCTCTGGGAGAAAAAAACGTGTCTCAGAAACAGACAAACACCATCTAAGCTGAGTCGTCAAATCTTCCTCTTAAAGCTTACACACATAACTGGATTCTGAGGCTGCTAAGACGATTATTTTCATCAATAAATTAATTTGCAATTTACCTTCTAGGTAAGCCATAATTAATTGATCGATTAATTGACCTTTCAGAAGCTGGGACCTGGGAATGTTTGTCTTTTTTGCTTTAAAAATGACAAAAACGATTATTTGATTATCAAAATAGTTGCAGATTACTAGTCTATCGGCTAATCAACCTCAAAAGGTTGGTGAGAGTCATGAGACTGAACCAAAACAGAGAAGCAAAACCAAAACAATAAGCTGAAAGATGCTAAAACCATACGTAGAGCTGAGAGGAACGGCAGAGTTGCTGATAATTCTGTGTGTTTCGCACTATGAGCCACCACTTTGTGATTCATTGTTAAATTATTGATTTCGGCAGCTTTACGTGATGGATACTTCCAACCACCACTGCTTATCGGCTTGAAAAGTAGTATGTTTATTAATGCAATGCTACCGCTGCAAGGGTCTTACATGCAGCATCTTTTCTTTTTTGTTTCTTCTACAGTGGATGGTCCCTCGAGATTTACATAAAGTCATCTTGTGTCATTTTACATCTTATAAATCAAACCATATAAAGCTCCCTCTGATACAGCATGTCCTTGTACTCCCACTCGGTAGGCCATCTGCAACGCATACTGTAAATTAATGAGCGCCCCCTCACCCCAGCTGAGAAACATAATATAAATCCTGCAACAGAGGCTCCCATAGGTAGGGACACCCACACACGAAAGCCATCCTATTTCAATATACAGCACACCCAGGCAGACATCTTCTTTACAAGGTGGAGCTTGCCACCCTCTATCCCCCCGAGAGTGACATGTGTCACCACAGGGAAAGTGACAAAGGGCGCATGTGTGCAGATTTTACATGATGTGACTAAACGCATGCCCTCTCTCCACACACACACGGCGTACTTAGACACACATGGAGACTTATGAAACGCCTGCTGACACACGTGCACATCCTGCACTCTCACATGCACTCACAAGCCTCCCCTGATGATTAGAAAGTAGGTCAAGGACAACTTTCTACGAGGGCAAAGAGAAAAATAAAATCTGTGACGATAGACTGTCTCTGGCTGCAGCACAGAAAAGTGGCCACAGTAAGCAGCGTATACCATTTATAATCCGAGTCAGACTCAGAGCCGGAGATGTGTAAATAAATAGCCAGAGGCGTGACAATTGGGAGAAGGCTTTCAGAACAGACAATGAGTTCTGTCTACGATGCACAAACTTTCTTAATGAGGCCTAATGAGTTATACGTGCTGCTCCGTCTAATGAACTTTCAGAGTTAATCAAGTGTGTCCTTTTCATTTCGCTGATAAATAACTGTACTGATCCTAGTAACCAGTCCAGTGCTGTCAACTCCCATTGGTTGCAGTAAACAGCTCCTCAATAACAGCTTTAAAAGTCATGTTCAGTATTTGTGTATTTCTTAGCACTGCAGGGTCTGCCATAAATACCTTCTCATAAATATTCTCTATAGCACAACAAATCACCTCATTGTGAAGCAAAACTTGGACCTTGGAGGAGGAATATTCACATGATTCCTCTCTCTCTCTCCATCCAACTACAAGCAAAATAGTCATTTTTACAACAATTCTTCTCAGGTTGGATCGAGAAAATGCACAGTAAAGCAGCAAACAAACACTAAGAAGTGGCTCATCCTCTGTTATATTCTCTTCTCTCCTCTCCTCTCCTCTCCTCTCTCTGAGTTATTGTGATTCAGGACGTCAAGCAGCATATCCTCCCATCTCTGAAACATCATCTCACACTGCAACACTCTCGACAGCTCTCATGACATTGCACCGGAGAGCTCGGCTGGCCCTGTTCACTCCACCCCTCCTCTAATAATACTCGTCCTCAGAGTACTGAAGAGGAGTGGAGAGGGGTGGAGTGGAGGTAAGAGCAGAGCCGTCCGATCGGTCTGCCAGTGCCGGAGTTCCCTTCCTCGCTGCAGTGGTAGCCTCTGCCGCAGTGATAGGGAGCGAGGAGGGAGAGGGAGGGGAAAGGTGAGCTGGTAGCAAGCGAGGGGGAGAAGGTAGGGGAAAGAAGGGAAGGTGCTGATGATGTGTGTGTAAGTACCCACTGTGTGCCAAAATACACCTATTCAGCAGTATTTCTTCTGCACGGACACTAATCAGATCTCCCATGCTCAGGTCCTCTTTTATGGGGGCCTCTTGTCTATTGTTTCATTAGAAGTGTTTGCTGAGCCGTGTGATCTAGGACAGGACTTGAGAGAGGCGATTAATAACTCTGAGCATGAAGGGGCTGTCTTCAGGGCCAACTTCAAAAAGTGTGCCACTTCTTTAACGGGCAGGGGAGGAAGGAGCCAGAGCAACATCAAATAAGGACAGTGAGGTGAGTGTTTAGTGGGCTTGTGCACGTGTTTGTGTGGATGCATCTAGAACAGTGGTTAAACAGGGGTAAAGTCTGACACTGCACCCCCACTCCATGCCTCCCCACAATAATTTCAATGACTTTTATTATTATCCTTTGCCTTATTTTTATATGCAGGATAATCATTATGTTCCCATAATGCTTTGGAGGTGGTTAACAGAAAGTATAAATTTGCCATGTACGCTACAACTTGAGGCCGGTTATTTTTAGCCTATATTTGTTAACATTTTGGCAAATTAGCACCATTAGAACTATGCTGAATTAGCTATAAGCAGTCCCTGTTTGCAGTGTACCCATAAATCTACAGACAACTATTCCCGGATTACTATGATGCTGAAGAAAACTTAAAAACATGGTGAATCTCAGGTAAGTTCTGGAATTGTAATGATTTATTTTTAAGCGGATCTATGGACATTTATTCAAGATGGACATTGGAGATAATGCTATTTCAGCAAAGGTAAGTCACACTGTGTAGATATATATACCATGTCTGTGTGTTTCGATTTTAATGATGATTTAGGATACGAAGAAGTAGCTTAAGCAGGGTTTGAAATACACCGATAGCCCACAGCCACAGCCATAACATTATGAGCACTGACTGGTGAAGTGAAGAACACCGATTATCTTGTTATCATGGCATATGTCAGTGGGTGGGATATATTAGGCAGCAAGTGAACATTTTGTCCTCAAAGTTGGTGTGTTAGAAGCAGGAAAAATGGGCAGCGTGAGGATTTGAGCGACTTTGACAAGGGCCACATTGTGATGGCTAGACGACTGGGTCAGAGCATCTCCAAAACTGCAGCTCTTAAGATAAGATATATACTTGATTCATCCCTATTGGGGAAATTCTTCTTTTCACTCTTTTTTATTTTTACACACACACACACAAACACAGGCTGAAATACACACTTGTGGACATGCAGCAGGGAGAGAGATGGTGGAGTGATGGGCTCACCACATTAGCGGCGCCCATGAGCAGTTTCTTGGGGTTAGGTTGCCTTGCTCATATTGTGGTCTGTGTGATTTGAACCAGCGACCCTCCAGTTCTCAAGCCAAGTCCCTACACACTGAGCTACTGCCGCCCAAAACATGCATTGGCCCATACGAACCTGCGACCTTGGCATTATTAGCACCACGCTCTAACCAACTGAGCTATATAAAAACATGTTTCTGCCTGGTTTCAAACCAGGGACCTTTTGCATGTTAGGTGAACGTGATAACCACTACACTACAGAACCCTGTATATAAACATCTTGTGGGGTGTTTGCGGTCTGCAGTGCTCTGCAGTCAGTACCTATCAAAAGTGGTCCAAGGAAGGAAAAGCAGTGAACCGGAGACAGGGTCATGGGCAGCCAAGGCTCATTAATGCACATGGGGAGTGAAGGCTGACCCCTGTGGTCCGATCCATCAGACAAGCCACTGTAGCTCAAATTGCTGACAAAGTTAATGCTGGTTCTGATAGAAAGGAGTCAGAACACACACTGCATTGCAGTTTGTTGAGTATAGGGCTGAGAGTATGGGTCATAATGTTATGGCTGATCGGTGTATGTAGGTGCTACAGGGAGCTCGGCAACCCTGAAAGACACATTAGCTGAGGGAGCTAAAAAAATATATATAATTATTTATATTTTCCTGTATTTTCATTTCATTTGTGTCTAATCTTTTTAGAACACCGCCATGCACATTTCTCTTTCACCTCTAATATATGAAAGATTATTTTTGCCCCTCACCTTTGGAGAAGATAGTAGTCCTGGGAATGACATCCAGGTCCAGGGATGGGCTGAAGGGGAAGGCCCACAGTTGTGACATCCTGGCGAGGAGCAACAGGAGCAGCAGCAGGTGCAGGAGGGGCTGGACTGATCTCTGGTCTCCCATGTTTAACTCACAGACCTGGGTCCAGGCACAGCCTCGATTGCACTCAATTTGTAGAACACACAAAATCTAAGTGTGAGAACTGAGAAAATATCTTTAGGCCCAGCAGCAAGCAGATGCAGACACTTTGATTATCCTCCAGCTGAGAACACACTCTGTGCAGAGAAAGACAAAAACAATGTGTATAACTAAGAGAGAAATGATCCAGCATACCAAACTACATGCTGTTGTCTTGAGGTGGAACTGGAATTCAGAGAGATCAATTCAAAACAACATGGAAATTTGCAGAACAAACACTAGCCTATAAAGCACTTGAGGGGAAGTACTGAACATACTGGTAATATTCAAACCCAGTGGTGGTGGAAGAACTCAGATCCTTTATTTAAAGGTCCAGTGTGTAACATTTTGGAGGATCTATTGGCAGAAATTAAATATAATCTGCATAACTATGTTTCCATTAAGGGCAGATTGGAGTGTAACTGTCTGTCCAAGTTGCTTCCCACAAACTAATGTATGCAACATTAACCAGTGGCGAAAAACAACAAATAAATGTACTTATAATTTCAAACATTTAAAGGGAAATATTAAACTTGGAAACGCACTAGATTCATAGATTAAGATTCACATTTCACAAAAAAGCCATAAAATTTGTAGAGCAAAACATTTAGCTGATAATACTGTTTACATTGTTGTATCAGTACTTTAACTTAATGTCCCTAATGTTAAACAGAAACACTAATGATGTCTTATGATATTTCAAAACATCCACGATGGGTGCGATGAACTTTGCTGAGGAGATACAGTCTATGAACTTGCCTACTTGACGGCATGAGCAGAAAATTTCTTGCTGATATGCATCATCACTCTCTGATTACAACCAATTAGCCAAAGTGAATGAGTAAGATGCCGTTACATAAAAGACCCATCTAAAAAGTTTTGGGAGTTAAATAATGTGCCCCTGTGATGCGATCTTGCAACACACAACTCCATCTCTTAATTAGCTGTGTGCACACTGGAGCAGCATGACGGATAATCTAGAGATTAGGCCCCGTGCCATCAGCACAATCTCCGCCTGGCTGCCCGTTCTCTGGCTCTGTCACTGATCAAAGGGTCAACACTGTGAATCCCGCTCCGCTGCTTTGCGACACTGGAGAATTCCCATCATAATCCACACGCCGGCTGCTGCTAATCACTCGCAGCATGAAACACAATGAAGCTAATGACCTCTCTGTTAGCAGTTTGGGTGCTAAGGTTTGAAACCGACCTATAAGACGACAAAGTGAGAGGGGAGAGGGGAAAGAGTTAGTGATGGTGCAGGGATCCCCTCACCTTGCGTTTATCCAGAACTGTTTCTTATGGCTGGCTTAACCTAATGTAATCCATGCTTTTGCTTCAAAGAACCTGTTACCTAACTCATCCTGAAGAGTCTGTTATGTTTCGAGCCTGATTCTTGATTTTCACTCAACTAATTTAAAGTTGTGGGGATCTGAAGTCGCAGTCAAGTCTGTCATCTTGGCATCGTACAACATACAGTGAGTGAGGAGTCTACTAGCTTTGTCTGGCGCTGTTAACCTTGAGTTAATATTGTTTTGTTAAATGTCTTTTCCCAAGGCCCATTCCCAAGAATGAACACACTCAAATGGTGTAACCAGAAACTGTAAATGCAGCAGAAATCCATCACACATGACCATTAACAGAAAAAGTTTCAGTTTGAATTGCAAGCATTTGAATTTCTTCTAACAGTGCTGAGAACGAGATCGTGCTTCTGGCTCAAAGATATTCTATGTGATTACACAAAAATAAATTCCTATCAAGCTAATTTCTTATATGAGAAAGAATTTCTTCGGCACAGTGGCGACCCAAACTTTCATCCTTTCCCCACTTCCAAAAAAACCCTTATCTCCAAAACAAAGCTTTGTGACTTCAGATCTGTTGCCATCAGTAGTAGTTACAGCCATCAATACATATGACAATGACAATCAACTACAATGTCACATGATTGAGGAGAATCTCCATCACAAGGTTGCACCACATAAACAAAGTCTTAAAGGAATACTCCACTGATTTAGCATTGCACTTGTATAATTGTGTGAGACTCCGTTAAACTCCTTGTCAAAACCTGGTGCTTACACTACCCACAATGCAACTCAACCGCCAACAGTTGGTTCAGAGATTCAGTTGTGGTATGCTAGTAGCGGTTAACGCACCCACAAGCCACTAACCTCAAGCAGAGATAAAGAACGGGCTACAGAGGTCGAGTAATCTCCACACCCCCAGATTTTCCTTTTTCAAACTTTAAATCTTCAACCCTAACCAATTCTGACTCTAGTGACATCACTTGAGTCAATTTATCATATTTGGAGCCACAAAATGATAAATGCAATAACTTTTTTTCCCTATAAGCATTAGTACTCCCCAAGACTTTCCCTTTAACATTGCAACTGAAGGCAGAAACAGAGCTTTGTGCGTCTTGTTTGATGACTGTCCAAAACTTTGACAGCGCTTCCAAAAACCGCTGTCTGCCAAACTTCAGCAAAATAGAGGACAGCAGATCAACCAGACAAGCGTGCATGCTGGTGTGTAGCCCTTTAATGTGGTTTTGTCAGCTGGTGCCCTCATGTGACACACAGCAAACACACACCATTGTTTTAACACCTCCGCATCTGCATTGTGTACACTGTTCTACGGGAGCAGGCAAGCATGTTGACAACGTGGTGTTGCCACCCTGACAAAAGCTTGGACACTCCAGGAGGGGAAAGGTAAACACATCTGCCTTGGCGGTGGCACGTCCGATGTGTCATGCATGATGGGAGAAGAGAGGAATCGAACAAAACAGTGGGCAGCGTCTGAAACACCTTTTATCAGTTTCTTCCTGTGTATTGATCCATAGAGCGGGGTACTGGGACATTTTGGCTTCATTTTAGTGACGGTCTCTGCCCTCTGGTGCTCATCAAACTTCCTGAAATGAAGTCATTACGTGCCTACAGAATATGAAAGAGTTTGCAGAGTATGATAAAGTGGTTTTCTTTATGAGCATATCAGGCTGGATCAAATTATTTGCAAAATACCTAGGCTGAAAGATCAATAAAACGGGTGAGCTATTCTTGTCTTTCCTTTAAACTGATACTTAAAATGCCAAACACTAATGCCATGATTTTGATTATGTTTGTGCCATTAACCGGCAAAGAATTAATGAATATACTTTATTATGGGTATTATGTAATCTATATGCTATACTTGAACATGATATTTTCTCTTTTTTTTTCTTCCTTTACTCCAAACCACTGGGAGTTGGCATGGAGGGAACCATAAATGAGATTATTCGCACATTAAAGGAAGAATGAGTGGGTTCACCCTGTGGGCCATGTGGAGAAATCTTAAGATAAATCTTCTCAAAGAAGCATGAAATTCTGATTGTGTTGCGTATAATGCCTCTTCATACAAAGAAACATGTAGAATTCACAGAAGACTTGTTCTCTGTTTGGGTCTATCTGATTAACAGATCAAAAACAAGAATAATGATTTACTGGGCTCAAAGGGACTCAAAAAGGCTTTTCTTCTGCTGTGTTCATGTACTGTTATTAAATTCATCTTCGACATATTATGTGATGACAGATGATCTCACCATCTTTCTCTCTTTCCTGAGGTCGAATCATAAGATGGAGCACTTACCAGAGCCATTTCTCTTTTCAGATCTGTCAACTTTTTTTGAGGAAATTACACTCGTTTTGATTTGAAAATCGGAGGAATTATCCAAAAAGTCATACGTTCTTCTCCATTCTTTAAAGGTTTAGAAAAAATATCTCTCTTTAGCCTCTGTGTACTTTGCAGTATAATCTCATCTGCACATATGCTGTTTATTTGTCACATATTCTAATGTGTAAATGTTGTCATCTGTGCCCCCTTTATGGGTTAAAGATGTGTTACAGAATGGCTTTATCAGTAAACAACTAAAGATATCTCGGGTTGCCAGGTTGTGGCTCTCTCTCTTTGCTTTGTCATTTTAGATAGCTCTTTAATTCATCATGAAGACAATGGCCAGTTTGATCTCTGACCTTCTGCAAAATGGGCTGCGGGGCTTCAGAACAACAAGTAATTTATGAGCAACTTATTAATATTTACAGCTGCAGACTTGATGGATCACTTAGAGCCATTTATGACTTACTAACATTTATACAGCAGTTGCAGGTGACGTACTAAGTTTTTACCGATCCCTTATTGGAAAGTGAGAAACTCTGGACCCATTATTAATGTATAACTACCAAATAACCAATTATATTTACTCAAGTAGCCCAATGTATTTTTCATTGTATGCTTCTTTACACTTCTCCACTGTATGTGAGAGGGAAATATTGTTTTTAACTTTTTTTTACACATTTATGTGAGCGTATGGTGACTAGTTACTTTTCAAATTAAGCTTTTACATATAAGACACATCAACTTATAGAGTATGCTGATTGTTATAGATTAAACGATCCAAAAGCATATAAACAGATTAGAAATAGCTCCACCTCGACCTACCACTCTACTGTTAACGCATTAATGCATCAGTGATAATCCAATAATATATATTACACCATTCTCAAAGGGTCCATTCTGTATAACAAGCACCTTAACATTTGATATTTTAAGCACATTTTGTTGATCATACTTTTGTACTTTTACTCAAGTAAGATTTTGAATACAGGACTTTTGCTTCTACATTATTTCCACTTCTGGATCTTTCTTCCACCCACCACTGCTCCACACCCAGAGGGATTGTTCCCAACCTGGCAGCCCCTATGACTGGCTCTTATCTGATACATTAAGCACTATTTATGTATTAATAAAGCCAGTAGTAACAGCTTTTAAACCCGGGTAAAGGGGTTACTTATTACAAAGTAGCCTACTTATGATTTGATGGATCATTTATCACATTTTTTAAGCAAAGCTACACCTCGATTTTAGAAGTTTTGATGATTAAGTTTAAATTTGACCACAAACTGCTTAGACACAGACTCCCTCCCTCTCTTTCGAATCGTCTTTGTCTCACCATACTTACATCCCCCTTTTCCTCCTTTCAGAAGTACAGACAGGGACGCATCTTAAAGACAGATAAGAAACATATGGCAACCTATTTCACTGCCATACCTCTGACTTTGAGCACAATGCGGTAAGAATGAGTGGCTTCAGGACCGTCCTAACACTTCGGCACATAACCCCTCAGAGTAATGCATCGCTACACTTAACTTCCACCAATATGGGATTCATTAAAAACAACCTTTTATCGTGCGTAACGAGTGCGCTATGAACGTGCAAACAGCCACCAATGTGCACCTGTCCGACCTGGACTGCAGCGCCGAGAGGGGAAAACAGCCCCGCACACTCTTTAACCACCTTCACCTGAGTGCAGATGAATGTATAGGTGTGTGTGTGTGTGTGTGTGTGTGTGTGTGTGTGTGTAGGAAAAGTGGAAGAAACACATTTACGCACAGTATCGAATAGTACGCATAAAAAGCGGCAGAGGCGGACTCACCTGCTTGTTTCCTGGAGTCCACAAAAATCCTCTGAATCGTCCTTTCCGCGGCAAAACACCGAGCTGTTCTGCTGCTGCTGCAGTTACCCAATGCTCAAACACAACCAGAGAGTCTCCCCCCACCCCGCCGCACCACACACACACACACACACACACACACACACACACACACACACACACAGAGAGAGAGAGAGGATCCATAGCCTATATAGGCTGAACTGCCTTATTTTATGACCAGACAGTTTCCTCATATAGTTTTCTGGTGTTTTGATACATAAACGTTGAGTTTGGAGGGATTTTCAAAATAAATAATAAAAATAAAATACATTTTTAGAAGAATAACTTTCAAGTTGTGTCCTGGTACGATTATTACAAATTATAGGTTATAAGGACAGGCTATTTCTGTGTTTTTAATGTCTGTAAGTTATTGCTGCCTTTCCTTTCCTGGACATTCAATAAGACTCTCTTTTTTTAAATAGCACTTAATAGATGGGGAAACCTAATAAATACAATAATATATTTCAGTGTTGACTACAGAAAACTATAAAGTCCACATATAAATATAACTAAAGCATATTCTACATATACACATATAGTATATATAGTATAGGTATGTTATTTATGTTATTATTGTCTGAAATAACACTTTCTTAGCATCGATTCTGTCTGTAAATGTAGTCTGATGTAAAAGTCTGATGAGTATCAATGTGATCTGTGCCTCGTGGCTGACCCCTGCTGGAGAAGACATGGAAAGACAACAATTCAAAGTATTTTCCAGTTCCCTCTTCCATAGAAATTCACCTGTTTATAGCATTGATGATATAGATGTTTTAGGGCTGTGCTATATATGTGTCACATACAGGACCTTCTTGCTGTGAGGTAACAGTGATATATATAATATTTAATATTATATCTTTGCAAAAAGCTAATAGCTTCAAATGCTTCTTTCTTTCTGCAAAGGATGTATGCCTGATTTTGTTCCACATTTTGTGACTTAAAACTGATCTTTAGTGTCATGCAGGCAGCTCTTCATGACTATTAGTCTATAACAGCCATCGTCTGTAATTAAAAAATAAATATATATATAAAATAAATATAAATGTTAATAGTGATATGTACTGCTGCATCCACTAACATGGGAATAAATCCCAGAAGGACTTGATGTCCAAGATGTTCAGACTACTTTGATTCCAACACATCATGATGTTTTATTGAGTTTGTGTTTGAGTAGTTACAACAAGTCAAATATTTTAATATCAATTTTAATTTAACTCTTTACTGATGTTGTTTGAAGCTGCAGAAGACTCAGGGAAGTTTTTCCAGGAGGTTAACAACTGAAATGTGAAAACTGATGCACAAACACAAGGGGGCGCCATCCTCCTGCTAACCAGGGATGTAGTGGAGGTTAAAGCGCCTCAACTCTTCAGCTGTCTACAGGTTTAATAACCTAATACAGACATGTATCAAGAAATATATGGGAAAAAATCTGTCTGGAACAATAATGTTTTTTTTGGGCAAAACATTATAATTTCTACATTAAAATCTTTAAAAAACATCGATTCTTTTTACCTCATTAAAAATTCGATAATCTATAAATATGCTAATTTGGTTCATTTATAGAAAAAATATGTAATCAGATTACAGTTACACTTAAAGGGGATTATTAGCAGGATTACAATTTTAAAATATATCAATCAATCATATCTTTAAAAATAACAAATTGTTGATGCTAAAAATCTTCTATTTTTTTTTTCTAATGTTACATTGTTCTCTTATCTTATGAAATACACTTTCATCAATACTTCTTACTGATATTTATTTTTCTCTTATCTTTAATTTACATATTTGGTGTTGAAATATTCCAAAAGTAGCAGAAAGTAATTTAATATTGTGATACTTGGATTAGGTTACTCACTACATTTTCTATAAGGTATACTAATTGTACATTTTCAGAGTACAGTTTTTGAGTGCAGAAGGACTTTAAGAACAAAACAATAAGATTTATAATAAAAATGCAAGGTGTAACACATCACGGTTACTGATTAGTGGAGGGAAACTGCTGCAATTCAAATTAAAATAAAGAAATAACTTTGTTTATCCATTAGGAACTTAATTTCTGTGAAGGTCTCAGTCCATATACAACACATAACCAGACATAAGACAAACAAAGAGTAAACAACATACATACAAATGCAATTACAAAAAGGTTTAAAATACTGGTTTTAAAATGTTTAAAATATGTGAGCTCAGGCATTAATGAGTCTGATGGAGGTACAAAGCCTGACATAGCCTGCTTCCTGTAGGAAGTGACCTGTATGTATTGGCTGTATAAGATAAGATAAGATAAGATAAGATAAGATAAGATAAGACTTTATTGATCCCTGGCTGGGGAAATTCACTACAGCAGCTCCAGATACAACACAACAAGATAAGAAAATACACATTAAATAAAACATATAATGAAAACAGAATAAGAGAATAAGAGTTACACTTTATACAGCTTTTTATTCAGATGTGCTTGACATGGAGCATTGCACAGGTTATATAAAATAGGCTTTAGACAGGGCAGAAATAAATTCATCTTTTAAGACTTTTTTGTTTGTTTGTTTGTTTGTTTTTTTTTAGCAAACAACACAGACACTGACTGACAGACTGTATGTAGTGTGTGTTTGAATAAATGTAAATACCCTGCGCAGACCGGTGGTGCTCTGTGTGGGTGGTGTGAGCTCCTCCACGGTTGTCATGACGTGGTCCGCCCGCCTGTGTGCCTCCCTCCCCCCGCCGTCCAGTGAGCGACACACCGCTGAATCAACGCAGCAGCCTCCGCCAACAAGTCAGCTCCCCCACCGACTCAGACACGATTTATTTGAACCGGAGAACAGCCTGTCTGTCGGTACGTAACCTGTCTGTGTCTGTATTGTTAATATACTATATAAATGTGTTTAGGCAGCCTGGTAACGTTAACCAGCTAGCCACAGCTAACGCTAGCGTTTAACTAAGGCTAGCTGGTGCTAACCATTAGCGGTAGTTAACAGACAGTCGACCATGATATGTGTCGGTGTTTCCAGCTGCTATTTGTAAGCAGACTACACAGCATGTGGGGGGGTTAGGTAGTTGAAGCTTTAAAGGCTGAATATGACACTAATATTAGTCCAATATGTGGATTAATTAGTTAGCTAAACCGGCTAGCTCACCGGTACACACATGAATTAATGTTTGTTGATTGTTTTTTAAGACAATCAGTGCCACCTGTTAATTAACTGAACTGATTTTCCTTTTTTTTGTTAATCTTATTGATTGTTTGTAGGTTTTAATCGATGCTTCCATGTTTGTTGTTACCTGGGGCAGTTTATTAACCCTGCTAGTGTTTGGATGTTGTGCCTTCCTCACACACAGTTTCCTTTACACACACACTTTTTACATCCAGCTTCGTTATTATCAACCACATGTACAATCTAAATGTGTGCAACAAGTGATAAGTGGGATGATTGTCCTGTTCAGATCAGGTGTCACCACTTCAATGGACCATGTTTTGGCTACCAGAGTGAATACAACAGGTTAATTCATTGTATGTATATTCCCTGCCAAGAGACCTCTCCCCAGGTGGAAACAGCTCTGAATCTGCAATGGCTGAGAGGACATGAATTGGCTATTTGTAGATCCAAGTCTCGCTCTGTTGCCTCTTCCCAAGTCGACCACTTCTGATTGTTAGTAAGATATGTGGCAGAGATGTGATATGGTGCAGCCGGCTGAGAGTAGATCTGATAGGAAGTAGGTGGGAAAGTCTTTTTGTTGCTCTCCAAAGGGGGCCGCCACGGCCAAGTTTTTGCTATCTTCCCTCGGATCCTGTTATGAAGTTGCGGTTCTGCTACGTTGCATAGACACTACATTGTGTTTGACACAGAAAGAAAGCATCACGTCGCCCAGAGACACTGTTATTACGTAGCTTTCCCCCACTGAGGACATGAGAGACTGTTTATATTCAGGGCAAGTCAGAGCTTGTGGGAGTCAGGTGTGAAGGAATATGCCTGTTGGTGTCTTAAGTGAATTCTGTTCCCGAGGGTGCTACGTGTTAAACTGCAGCGGAGCTTTCAAAGGGGAAGTCAAACTAAACGGATGCAGGATTTGCATTCGTTGTGGGGAACTCATTTTGTTTGACAAAAGATGGTAATTTGCAAGCCAATGTGACATGGAGGAGAGACACTGTTCAAGCCAGCACTCTTCAAGGTGTTATTGTGCCCTCAGGCATTTACAGTAGGTGTGAATTGTATAGTGTGTAGCCCATTCAATAAAGGACAATGAAAGAACTTGGCCTAAAAAGAATGACTGAGTATCGCGCGGCTTTCCTTTTTGTCGTTTCACTTTGAAGAAGACCAGCTTTTTTTATGGGGACACCGGCGCAGTGTGGTGGTGTGTTAGAGGAGTGGTCATAGAAATAACTGAGGAAAATTACAGTTTAAAACACACACACACACACACACACACACACACACACCACAGCTGGGCGTGGGTCAGAGGAGAAAGCAACAGTGGCCCATGGCCTAGCCAACTTTAATGAGTAGTTACTTTACCATTGCTATGGAAATAGCTCTCCTTTGGTCTGCTGCAACTGTGTGCAGAGACAGACGCATTTAATATTATTATGTGTCGCCCATGCTGAGCTTTAACCCTGAGAGGTCGCAGAAACTTCCAGTAATGCTGATAAATATCTTAAGCTTCTTCAGATGTAGAGTGCTCAATACTTTTATTCCCATTTGTCTGCTGATCTCAAAACAACCTATCAATGTTCCCGTCGAGACTGAATGCATTCATCCACTCGCACTGTGTTTTTACAGGCTATGATGAGGTGGTGACCCTGGGTCAGCCAGGCCGTGAGATGATTGCAGCTTGGCACAGAGAAAAGACGGAGCAGAGTGATTGAGAAAGAAGAATGGGCAGGAGCGTCTGGGGCTGCTGGCAAGGCGTCGTCTCCACCGCAGTGCTCTACGGCTCTCTGGCCTTGTTTACCTCCATCCTCCACAATGTGTTCCTCCTCTACTACGTGGAGACATTCGTGTCCATCTACAAGATCGATAAAGTCTCCTTCTGGGTGGGAGAGGTGAGTGACGAGAGGCCT